CCACTTGAGCTACAGCGCCACTTCCGGTTTTCTGGTGGTTTATTGGAGATAGGAGTCTCACGGTCTCTCCTGCCCAGGCTGGCTTTGAACCGCGATCCTCAGATCTCAGCCTCCTGAGTAGCTAGGATTACAGGCGTGAGCCACCAGCGCCCGGCTTCGTGAGACTCTTATCTCTAATAAACCACCAGAAAGCTGGAAGTGGCGTGGTGGCTCAAGTGGTAGAGCACTCTCCTTGAGCTGAAGAGCTGAGAGACAGCGTGTCCAGGCCCAGAGTTCTAGCCCCATGACCGACAAAAAAAAAAAAAAGAAAGAAAGAAAGAAAGAAAAAAGAAATACTCCTGACCAGCTCAGGTGGCATTCAGTGGCTTGCTTGGGACTCAATTCTGTTTCCCATTTCATTGCTTCTTCTCCACACCTGTCTCTGGCTTCAAAACCATAAGCCACATCCTTTTATCTTTATACCTGTGCAGTGTTACACAGTGCTGGCCATAGAGAAACACTGCTAACAGCTATAAAGGTATCAAGTTAGAAAAATGGTGTTGCTGGGCGCTGGTGGCTCACACCTGTAATCCTCAGGAGGCTGAGATCTGAGGATCACGGTTCCAAGCCAGCCCGGGCAGGAAAGTCTCTGAGACTCTTATCGCCAATTAACAGCCAGAAAACTGGAAGTGGCGCTGTGGCTCAAGTGGTAGACTGCTAGCCTTGAGCAAAAGAGCTCAGGGACAGTGCCCAGGCCCTAAATTCAAGCCACACAACCCACCCCCCCAAACAACAATAAAAACCAGTGGGTATGGGATATGTGCTTTCAAAAACTATTTTCTGGTCAGGTGTTGGTGGCTCATGCCTGTAATCCTAACTACTCAGGAGGATGAGACCTAAGGATTGTGCGCTTCAAAGTCAGCTCACAGGAAAAGTCTGAGACTCTTATCTCCAACAAACTACCATAAAAAGCTGGAAGTGGAGCTGGGGCTCAAGTTGTAGAGTGTTGGCCTTGTGAAAAAGCAAAGCTCGAGGACAATGCCCAGGACCTAAGTTCAAACCCCAGGATTGGCATAAAACAAAAACTATCTTCTTTGGCTCAATTTTGCTATCTGATCTTTTTAAAGGATCAGCTCACTAGTTCTAATTTATTTGAGGAACACCACTTCAAAGCAGAAACATTTTTGCATTAAAAAATGCAAAATCCACTTGTCACTTTTCTGAAGGGGTGACTGGAAAGCCAACTATTCTTCCCCACAATTGTAGGATGTAGGATTCTGAATGATCTATAGCCTGGCTTACAGCACCCACACATTCTTACAGGTTTACATCAGTAACAGTGGGTTATAATGAGCAGGGCCCAGGCATTTTCCTCTCGTTTCTTCCCTACCCTCCCAAGTGCGCCCTGCCCCATTTGTTTTCACTGTCCTTTCAAATCACGAGGAAACAAGTGGATGGACTTTTGTCATTTCCTCCAGTCCCACTCGGCGGCAGAGGCACCTGTTCCTTTGAGGCTGCTCAGAGTCAAGGCAAACTTAGGGTCTATTCTGTTCTGTTCTATTCCTCTGAACTCGTTCACTTTCCTGATCAAATACTCCCACCTTGGAAAGGTGGGCTACAGAAATGGGGCTCATCTTGCAATGAAATATGGGTACTTTGTGGGCCAGCATTACGTCCCAGAAGCCGCTTCATATACATGTGCATGAATATGCCACCTCCGTTCACAAGCTCCGTGGCTCCTGTTCTTTGCTCCAGTCCTTTTGGCAGTCCCCTGGCTGGACGATCAACACTACTGCAGTGAAGCAGAGCAGCTGAGGCCGTGCCTTGTCCTGGTCGCAGCAACAAAAGGAAAGGGCTGGGGCCCTCACCTGCTGTATGGAGCACATCTGGAAGGCGCCCAGCTCCACCAGCTGTGGGTCCTGGCTGCACCAGGTCGATGACCTCTCCCGGCTCCCAAGGACTGGCAGGGCTCTCCTCCGGAGTGAGTGGGGAGTGGCAGCAGCCGCCGCCATCACCCAGTGCTGCATCCTCGAAGTCGTCTGCCAGGGAATCGAGAGTCTCCTCGAAGAACAGAATTACATCCTTCTCCTCGTGTGTGAGGTACTGCAGGCTTTCGTCATCCTGGAAGACACATCAGGAGATTGAGAATGGAAGCAACAAACCATCAGATAAAGCCCTGGCAAAGCAGGGGCCAATGTTCAGCCCAGAAGAAGCCACTGCACCCTGCAAATTCCCCACCATTTGCATGGGCCACTGACAAATTGTCACCATCTTACCATCAAGGTAGGAAACATAAAGCCTGCTTCTTGGTGTCAGTGGCTCACATCTGTAATCCTAGTTATGCAGGAGGCTGAGATCTGAGGATCACAGTGCAAAGCCAGCTTGGGTGAGACTCTTATCTCCAATTAGTCACCAAAAAGCCAGAAGGGAAGCTGTAGCTCAAGTGGTAGAGTGCTACCTTTGAGGGAGAAAGCGAAGGAACCTCACTCAGGCTTGGAGTTCAAGCCCCAGGCCTGGCACCAAATAATAATAATAAAAAAAGCATCATCTAGGGAAATGAATCCATTTGTATTCTCTCCCCTTTGCTCAGACTGACCTTGCACTGTGCTTCGGTAGGGTTATGTATGTCACGTGTGTGTACGTGTGCATGCGAGCATGTGCACGTGCACTTACATATGTGTGCACTGGTACTAGGACTTGAATTCAAGGCTTCAAGCTCTTAGCTTTTTCCTTCATGGTACTTTACTACTTGAGGCATGCTTCCAGCCTGACAGTTTGCTGTTTACCTGAAGATGGGAGTCTCCAACTTTTCTCACTGGGCTGGCCCCAAACCTTGATTTGAGATCTCAGCCTCCTGAGTAGCTAGGATTACAGGCAGGAGCCACCGGCACTATGCATGACTCTTTTGGAGTCTGCTCTACTTCGGTCTAATTGTTTCCTTTGGCCTGGGGCTGGGCCTTTCTTCATAATAGGGTGCTTGCCTAGCTAGCATGCACAAGACCTTGGATTCCCTGCCCAATACCACTAACGTAAAATAAATAAAAGCATAATACTGGCCTAAAACAAACCTATGGCTCAAGACAGGCCATTTTCCCACGTTACAGGAGCGACAAAACAAGAATGGGCTATAAACCCAGGGCTAATCCAGCCTCAAAGCAGGCTGTCCCCATGTGAGATTTCATCTGGAAAATAGGCTTAGGAGGTGCCTCCCCATGCCTGCCATGCCCGGGTGCTGTGGCCCAGTACTCCAAGCTCTTGGGTGAGTGGGCCAGCCCGCCCTGAGGTTGGGAAGGTGGCTGCAAAGGCGCCAGGACTTCCCAAGAGCCGCTCAGTGAGAACACAGGGTCCAGCTGCTTCTGTCCGCCCCATCCCCCTTTCTAATCATAGGCTGCTCTGTACCCACAGAACCTGCGTGGACACATGATCAGCCTCATTCACGTAATCCGGTGCATTCACCACAGCTCTCCCCCACCTCCCCCCCACTATTCACACAACCCGCCTTCAGGCAGCCTAGTCCACGCCTCCCGACTCTGTCAGTCCTCCACTCTGGGGGCCGCAGTGTGGGCCGTGGGACTGGAATGTACTCCCAGGTACCTGTTTCTTTGTAGCCAGCCTGGACTGGAGCCCTGCTCTCTGGAGACAAGGCCAAAAATGCTGCAGGCCCAGGCTGTTGCTTAATCCCTGACTCCCGGCTGGCCTCCCAGTGACCCTGGGCACTCACTGTGTGCCCAGGACAGGAAAGAAGACAGAGCAAAAGCCCAGGCCGCGGGCAGAGGGGGCGGGGTGCGCCCAGACTAGGAGAGGGGTGCCTGGCTCTTGGCCAAGAGTTCTCGCCTACTTCCCATCAAAGGATGCCTGATGCTGCTCTGAATGTGCATGCCCTGTGTGGGGGTGACCAAGGATCAAGAGGGACAGCAGTGACCGGAGGCACGTCTCAAGAGCCAGCGGATTTAGGGGTTCCCTTCAGAAGAATGGGAATGCTCTAAAACCAACTGTGGTAATGGTTGTAGCACAATGGAAATGTGCACAGCCATTCAATCATTTATTCTATACTTGCTCTTAATTAATAAAGACATAAAATGGTGAACATTCAGAAGTTTCTATCATGTACATATTACTCAAATCAGATCAAACACAGAACAGTTCCTTGTGGTGAAAATGGACCAACTGCTGCCTTTTGGCTGTGAAATGCACAGCACACAATTATCATCTGTAGTCACCGTCCGAGGCAACAGCATGCCAGGACTTCACGATCCTTTAGTGACCACTGACCCATCTTTGTAGTTTCTCCTCCTCATACCTTCCCCAGCCTTCCACTTTAAAGAGTCTGAGTGAGATCACGGGATACATGTCTTTTTGTGCCTGGCTAATGTCACCAAACATAACGACCCCCCTCCAGTTCTATGCATGCGGTTGCAAATGGCAGGATTCATTCTTTTTTATGGCTGAATCGTACAGTGTACAGGTACCCATTTATTCCTTGCCCATTGATTAGATGATGGTTGTTCCTATTTGTTTCTTTTTTGCTTTTTGTTTTTGTTTGTTTGTTTGGAGATGGGGTCTTGCTGTGTACTTGGCAGTGAACTAATGATTCTCCTGTCTCTGACTTAGGGGTGCTAGGTCTCCAGGAGGCCCCATCACACTTACCTCATCAATTTCTTACTTTCTGTGACTTGTACTGTAATAGACATGGGAGTGCAGATGTCCCTTGGATATGCTAATGTCATTTCCCTCATACCCAGGAATGAGTGGGATTGCTGGATCAGGCGAAGTTCGTTGTTATTGTTTTGTTTTTGCCAGTCCTGGGCCTTGAACTCAGGGCCTGGGTACTATCTGTGAAGGGCTTTTGCTCAAGGCTAGCACTCTACCACTTGAGCCAAACCCTACTTCTAGCTTTTTCTGTTTATGTGGTACTAAGGAATCGAACCCAGGGCTTCATGCATGCAAAGCAAGCACTCTACCATCAAGCCACCTTCCCAGCCCTGAAGTTTGATTTTTAGTGTTGACAGGAATCTTCATACTGCTTTTTGTATTGGCTATGCTAATTTCCATCCTCACCAACAGTGTGTGAGGGCTCCCTCTCCTCCACTTCCTTGCCAGCCTTTGGAGTCTCCAGTCTCATTCTGATTGGGGTGAGGCAGTGTCTCGTTGTGCTTTGGATTTCCCTGGTGATTGGTGATGTTGAATGTTTCACACTTGTGGGCCATTTGCATGTTTGCTTTTGAGAACTGTCTATTTAAGGTCTATTGCCTTTTAAATTTTTTTTTGGCCAGATTATTTTCTTTTTCCTATTGAAATTTTGGAGTTCCTTATATAGTCTGGATATTAACTCCTTGTCACATATATACTTTACAAAACTTTTCTCCCTCTCTCTAGGTTGTCTCTGCCTTGTTACTTCCTTTGCTTTTTGGTTTGAAGTAGTCCCATTTGTCTAGTTTTGCTTTTGCTTCTTGTGCTTTTTTAAAAAAGTCTTAGCCAACACCCCCGCCTTCTCATAAACACACCTATTGCAATGACCTGATGTATTTTACTTATGGGTTCTTCCAGAAGTTTCAGTTTCAGGTCTTGTATTTAAGTGCTTAACTCATTTTGAACTGAGTGTGGTGGTATGCCTACAATCCTAGCACAAAGGAGGCAGAGGCAAGAGGATTGTGAGTTTGAGGCAAGCCTGGATTATGTAGATTCTGTGTGTATAGACTCTGTGTGTGTGTGTGTGTGTGTGTGTGCACACTGGTACTAGACTCTGTGTGTGTGTGTGTGTGTGTGCACACTGGTACTAGACTCTGTGTGTGTGTGTGTGTGTGTGTGTGTGTGAGCGCTGGTACTAGGACTTAAACCAAGGGCCTGGGCACTGTCACTTAGCTGTCTACTCAAGGCTAGTAGCAACCTCAGATCACAACCTCCTAAATAGCTAGGATTATAGGTGGGAGCCGCCAGCACTTGGCATGTATCTTGTCTTAAGAAACAAATAGCTGGGTGCCGGTGGCTCATGCCATAATCCTAGCTACTAAGGAGGCTGAGATCTAAGGATTGTGGTTCAAAGCCAGCCCAGGTAGGAAAGTCTGTGAGTGGCGCTGTGGCTCAGGTGGTAGAGTGCTCGCCTTGAGCTGAAGAGCTGAGGGACAGCGCCCAGGCCCAGAGTTCAAGACCCAGTTCCAGCATAAAAACAACAACAACAACAACAAAAATGTACTATCATAACCCCTTAAAAACCTTAAAAAACAAAACAAAACAAAACCAACTCTTGCTCCCATAGTTCTTTGGCTGTCCTTTCATTTTTATTCCTAAACAAGATACTGAATTATGTAGACTGAAACAATTTAGCAACTTCTTGTGAAGGATCTGACAATGGAGTTGAACCTACACATATGAAGACCAAAATTATAAAAACAATGCTGCTGGCTGAGGACAGGCCAGCACCCAGAGCCCGGGCAGGCACGCCACTCAGGTGGGCCGCACGGGTTGTCTGTCTTAACTCTGATCCAATGCTTACCCCTTCTTTCTGTATAGACACCAGAATGATTTCCCCAACACGTGAACAAAGGTTTTACAGGTTTGATCATCTCAGCTGAAGAGAGGCCACAGAAGCTGGAATGGACTAAAGACAAGGAGAAGATACAATGGGCCCTCTTCTCACATCGCCTTAATACTGGGCTTACTTGGGCTCACCCAGAAGAGACCATAAGCATGCATGACCTTTGCTTGCTTTAGATCAAGGGTTGAATTGTGGTCATTTCTAACTACACATTGCTGTCATTTTTTTTTAATTTACTGTGGCTAACTTCAACCTGTATTTCTGGCAGGAAAAGGAAGTAAACAAATCAGAGAGGAATGATAATGAGGATGGTTTTAATTATAGAACTGAAGGAGGATTAGTAGTGGGCTCCCTGGCTGCCTCCAAGTTCTCAAAGCTGCCAAGGCCGAGGTCTACCTCAACTGCTCTCCATCCACAGTGCTTATAGGAGCTCTTGCCTGAGACAGATGCACACGAGAGTAGGGGCGTTCCACATGTTCTGAGCCCCTTAAGTCACACTGGCCTGCCTGTCTTTACACACTCTGTCTTGAGGCCGTATTATGTGTTACTAATCAGTTCTTGTACACAAGGGGCCTTCATCGATGTCTGCTGAACTGAGGACAAGCTATGTGGCCATGTCTTAGTGTACATGCTTTGCCCAGGGTGGCTCAGGGGTCGCTGTGGCTAGAAGCCAGGGCTGACAGGTGTAGGGACCTGCGCTCCTTCCTCACTTCTCTGGTGTTTCTTCTGGAAATCTCAAAACACATATCCAGGACACTGCCTGGTCTTCGCTACCCACTGCTTGCTGTACATCCTCATTCTATGACCAATGGGCAGGGCCAAGAGACATCCGATGCTTTGGAGAAGGAAGGGATTAGCTCAAAAGCTGACATCTATCTGACTACAGACACATCCTGGGATTTGAGAGCCACAGCAATCATTAGCTGGGGGTGGGAGGGGTGGGGGGAGTTTCAAGATAGTTCGTCAAACTGGGCACCGGTGGCTCATACCTATCATCCTAGCTATTCAGGAGGCTAAGATTGGAGGCTCCTGGTTCAAAACCAACCTAGGAAGACAAATTGAAGAGTTTCAGATTTGTCTAATTAACCAGCAAAAAGCCAGAAGAGGAGGTGTGGCTCAAGAGGTAGAGCATCAGCCTTGAACAAAAAAGCTAAGTAAGAGTGTGAGGAGGGGTTGGGGATTTAACTCAGTGGAAGAGCACTTGCCTGGAAGTGCAAGGCCCTGAGTTAGGTCCTCAGCTCTGGGGGCGGGGTGGGGGGAGGGGGGAGAATGTGTGAGGAGCTGGGTGTCGGTGGCTCATGCCTGTAACCCTAACAATTCAGGAGGATCCAAGGAGCACAATTCAAAGCCAAAGGAAAGTTTGTTGAATCTCTTACCTCTAATCAACCACCAGCCTTGGGCACAAAAGCTCAGGGGCACTGCAGGCTCCAGTGGCTCACGCTTGTAACCCTACCTACTCAGAGGGCTGAAATCTGAGGTTCATGGTTCAAAGCCAGCCTGGGCAGGAAAGTCCGTGAGACTTTTATCCCCGATTAACCACCAGAAAAACAGAAGTGGCGCTGTGGCTCAAGTGGTAGAGTGCTTGCCTTGAGCTGAAGAAATCAGGACAGCACCCAGGCCCAGAGTTCAGGCCCCCTGACCGATGGGGAGGAAAAGAGTGTTAGACCCTGAGTTCAAGCCCCAATACAGGTATACAAACACACACACACACACACACACACACACACACACACACACACACATTCTCACTAGCTCATTAAGTACTGAATCTCACTGACAAGCACCCCAGTGGGTTTGGATGGTTGTTTTTGGCCAAGTCAGAGATCCTATGAACAGAAGGTATGCTGGAATGTTCCCATCCTACCTTTAAAGGGGTGCACATAGCGTGACATGCTTTAAGAATAACTATGGAGTGGTGAATGCATGAAGAGATTCTGCCTCTTTCTAGCCAAGCGAATGCTGGAATGTTGGACAGGAAGCACCCACTGTGCCTTGGGGCAGAACAGGCTTCAGGAATGTGTTCAGTCAGATCCTGAGACACTGGCACCAGGTGACATTCTGTCCCTGGTGGTGACATTCTGGGTGGTTTGTGAAATGGCACAAATATTTAGACACCTCTGTCCAGAGGTTAAGCAAACAGGTAACCCAATATCCCCAGCTCCCTTGAGCAGCACTGAAAGGCCCCGTGTGTGATCATCTCTAAACCTTCAGAACCCCTTGCAAGACAGTCACTTCCCCAGCCATGTTACCCAACTCGTAAAGAAAGCCTACCTGTGTTTGGATTAGAACTACTTCTCTTCACTTTAATACATAGTCATGTATTCAAGGATTTGGCAGTTGAGTCCAAATTCTATTTACTGCTTTCTAGAAAATGCTCAGAGGAAGAAATCCTTATGAGGAAAAAAAAAAAACCCAAACAAATGCAGCGGTGATACTCACTAAACACTCTGTTGAAAATGAACTATAAAACTTGAGGGTGGGGATGGGAGGAGAAAAACTAGGTGAGAGCCAAAGAAGAGGTGAAAATGTCCAAAAAGAAATGTCATGGCCGGGCACCAATGGCTCACGCCTATAATCCTAGCTACTCAGGAGGCTGAGATTTGAGGATCACAGGAAAAAAAATCCCTGAGACTTTATCCCCAATTAACTACCAGAAAACTGGAAGTGGCGCTGTGGCTCAAGTGGTAGAGTGCTCACCTTGAGCTGAAGAGCTCAGGGACAGCGCCCCGGCCCAGAGTTCAAGCCCCATGACTGACAAAAAAAAGAAGAAGAAGAAGAAATTACCTGACTTCTGAAACTGCAATCCCTCTGTACATCACCTTTACAATAACAAGTTAAAAATATATGTATTTAAACAACCTCGCTCCCCTCCACACACTAGCCCTTTTAGAGAAACAGGACTGTGCACATGGCCCTGTGAGGGCAGCCTGAGTCAGAAAGGTGGCCACAGGGAGCTCAGTGGCTGGTGGAGCCTCCGGGCAACAGGCCTTGGGGGTGGCCTTCTGCCCTCAGCCCAGTTCGTGATCAAAGACAAACAAGTTAGACAACTACTGATAAGAGGACTCCTGTGGAAACTGAAGCGGGCAGTGGCAGTGAAGGCACTAAGTTCAGCTTGGAAGCCAATAGGAAAGTGGGAAGGGAGAGGCAGGTGGGAAGTCCCCGTGTAGCCCCGATGGAGGCTCCTCTGCCCCTCCCCCTTCTTCTACTTCAGAAACTCAAACTCAGTCACTGATGAGCTCCTGCAGGGTGAGGTCAGCTGAGCGCCCGCGGGTGAGGCTCACACCTCTGTGGTTATGAGTACTGTGAATCTCTCATCTTCAGATACTGCCTGGTACTAAAGAAGAAAGCAACTGAAGATAGGTAAGGACTCGTTTTAGAATTTATAGAGAAATCAGTCGAGCGGCTGAGATCTCAGGATCGCAGTTCAAAGTCATCCCAGGCAGGAGAGTTCCCTAAGACTCTTATCTCCACTAAACTACCAAGAAAGCCTGAATTGGAGCTCTGGCTCAAGTAGTAGAGTATAAGCCTTGCATAAAAGAGCTTAGGGATGGTGCCCAGGCCCTGAGTTCAAGCACCAGGACCAGCACACACGTGCACACAAAAGAAATTTATAGAGAAATTACTGATATGTTAGAAGGCCCCTCTGGATGCTACCTTTAACCCTCTGTAGCCTGAACACCACAGGTCTTCTGGGGCATACAGTCATGGGCAGCCGGGCTCAGCCTAGGTTCTGAGCCACCCAGAGTTCCTGGTTCAGCTGGAGGTTTGCTCCAGCGCTGTGGGAATGCTCTGGGCTTATGCAGAGAACACTATGGGGAAGAAACGCAAAATGGCTCTTCACAGAGAAAATATTCCATCACATCCAGCTGGCTGCCTCTCCTTAAAGCTACTCCTTAAAGGGGAGACAGGTTGGGGCAAAGGCTTGGAAACCCCCACTCACCAGAGAGAAACTTCTGGACTGAGCACGGCTGTGACTCTCCACACTGCCACCTCTGCTCACGTCACCGAGTCTGCAGCTGGGCGACATGTCAGCAGCGTCCATCTCCGAGGAGCCGGATTTCTGGTGGTTTACAGGCATCCCCACAGAAGCTCGGCAAGGCCAGATCACAGTGGGTGGGGTAGGGGCTGGTCTCCCATTCTGAGCTTCTGAGGCACAGAAGTACTTCTAGAGAAATCGAGACAGAACAGCATCGGTCCCTGAGCCAAGGCAGGACAGTCCCTAGTCCTCAAAACCAGAAGGTCCGATGTATGGGGGGGCTGTCGAGTCAGCTGGCTAGGGGATGCTGATTTCTACCTTTCCTTCCATCACCACCCATTCTTTTTTTTTTTGTCGGTCATGGGCTTGAACTCTGGGCCTGGGCGCTGTCCCTCAGCTCTTCAGCTCAAGGTGAGCGCTCTACCACTTGAGCTACAGCGCCACTTCCGGTTTTCTGGTGGTTTATTGGAGATAGGAGTCTCACGGTCTTTCCTGCCCGGGCTGGCTTTGAACCGCGATCCTCAGATCTCAGCCTCCTGAGTAGCTAGGATTACAGGCGGAACCAACAACCCCCCGCATCACCACCCATTCTGAAGATGTGAGAGGAATTAAATTTTTCTGTTGCAGTCCTGGGGTTTGAACTCAGGGACTGGGTGGTGTCCCTGAGGTGTTTGTTGTTGTTGTTGTTCAAGGTTAGCTAGAATTCTACCACTTGAGCCACACCTCCACTTCTGGACATTTCTGGTGCCTAAGTAGAGACAAGAATCTCACAGACTTTTTGGCCTGGGCTGGCCTTGAACCATGATCCTTAAATCTTAGCCTCCTGAGTAGCCAGGATAACAGGTGTGAGCAACTGATACCAGACATAATTTTTTTTTTTTTTTGCCAGTCATGGGCCCCGAACTCTGGGCCTGGGCGCTGTCCCTCAGCTCTTCAGCTCAAGGCTAGCGCTCTACCACTTGAGCCACAGCACCACTTCCGGCCTTTTCTGCTTATGTGGTGCTGAGGAATCGAACACAGGGACTCATGCATGCAAGGCAAGCACTCTATCACTGAGCCACCTTCCCAGCCCCATAAAAGAAATTTTTAAGGAAAGATGAGCACATTACAAATGACTTACAATGTTCCAGCCTTGAGCTCTTGCTTGCCTTTCACTCATGGCTGACCAATGAGCCATGTGGTAGAGTCGAACTCAACCTTTGAGCTCTGCCTCTACTTTTTGCTTTTTTGCTAGTTAACTGGAGATTAAGAGTCAAATGAATTTGTCTGCTTGGGCTAGCTCAGAACCATGATTCTTAGATCTCAGCTTTTTGAGTAGCTGGGATTACAGGCCTGGCTCTCAGCTCCTGAACAATTGAATATGACAAAATGTTCTAGAACATAAAAAATGACTAATAGGAATAGACTTCCTAATGATTAATACATGCATTTGTGGAAAAAGTCCAATCAGTATTGAACCCCTTTTGAGGGACCTTGTTATTAAAGAGTTCAAAAATCATTATGAAAATCTTCTTAGAGAAATCTTGTAGCCATCTCTGTTAAAAAAAAAAAGACTTTAAAATATTGTTTACTCCTTTTCTCTTGTAGGTGAATCAGTTCAAGGAATGAGAAGGTTCTGAGCATTTATTCTTTTGCTAAATTACTATTATTCCAAATAGTAGAAACAATTTTGAAAAAGATTTAAAAAATGTCTTAAAATGCATTCAACAATCTGAGAGCCTCCACAATAATACAGAGTTTCTATAAAAATCTAAATAGCTAAGAGTGTGCTACTCTGCAATGTAGCAGTCAATGTAAATCTCTACTGTATTCTGTCCAACAGAGCTAAAGCCTGGGACGAATCTGGCAGAAAGGCCTTGTGACACAGCTGGTGTGGAGCTAAGTGGGACAGGGCCTGCTGATTGGCTGGAGAAGCTCGTGTAGGTGGGACAGGCTCTGTGAAGGCCCAGGTCAGGGCAGAGAGGGCAATACTTGAAGGGTGGGAATGGGCAAGAGTCTCCTTTTTCCTGTGCTGCTATCACTTTCCAAGCTGCAAAACTGTAACATCTAGACGTTCTGTGAAGCCATTTTCTTGAAAGAGTTTGAGGAAACATAAAGCAGAGGGCAGGGGTGGTGGGAAAGAAAACACAAACCTTGATTTTTATATCCACCACAGCCAACAAGAATCAATCATCTCTGATCTCCCGAGAATTTGTGGTTCTCTAGAAAAACAGACTTCCAGAAGAGGCCCACTGTGGACAGCAAGTCTCCGGAAGGGGAGGGCAGGGAGGCAGCCTTCTGCGCTGGCCTGCCCTGGGAGGGACCCAGAGTCAGCAAGGCCTGAGCCCAGGGGACAGCCTGGCCATGCGTCGGTGAGGGTCATAACCGCGTTACAATCTCCACATGTGCCATCAATCCAGGGTTTGTTGTTTGGGTTTGTAAACAGTACACATTATACAACACAAGTGAGGCCAGAGCAAGGGCAGGCCCCGCGGACCAGGGCGAACCTGACTCTTCCCAGGAGACAGAGCAAGCGCTGTGGAATAACCCAAGGAGGTGTGGACCATAGGCGCAGAGAAATCCAGCCACAAGGGCCCATTTTCTTTTCCATTTCCTCTGTTTGTGTTTCAGTGTTTATTGGAAACTTCCTTTAAAATTTTTTTTTTGGCGAAGTCTATTTTATCCTTTGAGCAAAGAAAATAATGAGGTCAAGATCCCAAAGAGGTCACCAAATCCTACGTTGCTGCCTGGCTGGGTGAGGCAGGAGGGGCATCTGCAGGGAAGGTCCCAGGAGATACGGGGGCTGTGTTCTTGGGCCCAGTGAACCCCAACATGAGTGCACTGGAGTGAGAAAAGCAGCTTCCGCTCTTCTTCTCCTGGACTTTCCAGAAAGATCTAGCATGGCCTAGCTGGTGTGCACACAGCCGCCCACATCATCTTAGTGCTACATAGACAGAGTCAGGTAGGCAGGCAGCCCAAGTAGTTGGTCTTTATGCATTGACAGCTCTGGGTGTGCAAATCCCACAGCTGATCCACACGCAAGCATCACAGGCCACAGAGACTCCTTCTTCTTCCTGTCATCTCAGCCAAACACCAGCCCTGTTCTCCCTCTCAGGGCCAGGGACCCCCCCCCTCTTTTTTCTGCCAAGGGCTATCTGGGTATTTACGACATTACGAGCCATACAAAATTACCAATACAGCTGAGTACTGGCAGCTCACATCTGTAATCCCATCTATTCAGGAGTCTGAGATCTGAGGATGATGGCTTGAAGCCTGCCAGGGCAGCAAAGTTCAAGAGACTCTCTTATCTCCAGTTAACCACCCAAAAAGCTGGAAATGGAGCTCTGGCTAAAGTGGTAGAGTGCTAAACCTTAAGCACAAAAGCTGGGACAGGGCCCAGGCCCTGAGTTCAAACCCCAGGACCAGTGTGCGCGCGCATGCACGCGCGTGCGCACGCACACACACACACAATTATCAATATAACCAGCCAGCCAGCCATGGGCAGCCACAGCAAACACAAGGTGTGTATTTGTTTGTCTAACCATGTACCAAATGATTTTTTTGCCAACCTTATATGGATCATGGGCCGGTCACCTCTCACGCCTAGCCAGTGAATTTGGACTTTAGTTGTATATGCTTCCTTCCTGGTACCCCCACCCCACCCCCAAAATAGAGCAAGGTGACAAATGCCTGTCGCTGCCATGGCACCTCTCTATTCTGGCTTTCCTCTCTTCCTACACTTTTTGTTGGGGGGGGGGTCCGGTCGTGGGGCCTGAATGCTGGGCCTGGGCGCTGTCCCTCAGCTCTTCAGCTCAAGGCTAGCGCTCTACCACTTGAGCCATAGCATCACTTCTGGCTCTTTTCTTTTTGCTTATGTGGTGCTGAGGAATCGAACCCAGGGCCTCATGCATGCAAGGCAAGCGCTCTACCACTGAGCCACTTTTCCATACTTCCTACACTTTTGTTGGGAGTCTCTGGCTGGATTCATCTTGCCATGTGGCTTTGATGTCACCAATTTAAAGCAGTGAGCTTGAACTCACCCACAGGCTTTAGTCAAGGAACTGGAATCACCCATTAAAATGGAAAGAAGATGCTAGAAGAATGCTCAAGGTGAAGGTTATTTTCATAGGACTGATTTCTTCACAGCAGGGAAGCAAGCAGACTAGCTGCACTGTGCTAAGAACTTAACCCGACCTCCGACCTCTGATTTCCAGCCTCTGCTCCTCCGTGTGCTATGGAAATCTGTCTCCAAAGACAGTTAAGAGGGTGAACGATATACACTACTCTGTATCTTGTATCAAGATGGTGTAAGGGGACCTGCTGGAAACTTACAGAACATGGGGTGGGGGTGGGGGAGGATGAGTAAATGGAGCAGGAAAGTCTGATGAATGTAACAAATACAAGTGTGAAATAGCACCATCAATCAACAGACCCCTAATAAAACAGAAAGATGAGGATGTAAAGCAGGCCTGGCTTGGGGGGTGGGGGGAAGCAGGGGCAATTGGAGGGGTAGAGGAGGGCAAATATGGCTTGAGTCCTTCATATGCATTTATGAAAACAGAACAATGAAACGTGTTGACATTGTTTTCAGAAGGGGAGGAAGAGGAGGAAGGAGAGTAAGGGAGGATGAATTTGATCAGGGAACACTGGAAACTAAAACACAGATATGGCAGAATAAAACCCCCTTTTCAACCAACAGAGGCTAATAAAAATTTAAAAAGAAAGTATATAGCAGGATGCCTGTACCTCATGCCTGTAATCCTAGCTACTCAGGAGGCTGAGATCTGAGGATCATAGTTTGAAGCCAGCCTGGGCAAGAAAGTCCGTGAGACTCTTATCTCCAATAAAACTACTCAGAAAGTTTGGAAGTGGTGCTGTGGCTCAAGTGGTAGAACACTAGCTATGAGCAAAAGCAGCTCAGGAACAGGCTCCCCCCCCCCTCTCTCTATATATATATACATATATATATATATACACATTTCCTTTTTTTTTTTGCTGGCCATGGGGCTTGAACTCAGGACCTGGGCACTGTCCTTAAGCTTTTCTGCTCAAGACTAGTGCTCAACCACTTTGAGCCACAGCTCTACTTCTGGTTTTCTGGTGGTTAACTGGAGGTAAGTCTCACAGACTTTCCTGCCCAGGCTGGCTTCATACCACAAACCTCAGATCTCAGGCTCCAGAGTATCAGCTAGGATTACAGGCATGAGCCA